TCATGACCTGAGCCGAAGGCAGACGCTTAACAGACTGAGCCACCCAGGCGCCCCCCTACACTTCTTGATACATGAGAAAAACAGCCCCTAATTTGGAGACACCACAGGAGTCAGGTTTCTTTTACATATAGCCAAGTGCAGTTCCTTGTAGAGATGCTTCCAGGCAGCCTTCTGCCATTAAAAGTAGGCCAGGAAATTTATCACCAACGGGAGAAGTGGGAAAGTGATGATAAGAACCGCAGAGGGGTTGAAAGGGAAACTGACATAAAAGAAATTGCTGCCTGTTTCTTATTTGAACTGTGAATGGAAACTGACCCAGAGAGCATCCCCAAGTCAACATGTGGTAGTTACATTAGGGTAGAAATGGCAGCCATAAATGAATTGGGCAGAAAGAGGGTCAGAGGTAGCACCCCAAGACTTATGCTGTAGAGCATGGAGGGTTCTAGAAGTCTCCAAGTGCTTCCGATGAAGGTAATCTGAGTAGCCAAATTTGAGAGCCAGGAAGCCTCCCAAAGGGTCACCATATGGCTGAGGACCTGTGACCAAGGTGTCAGGGCAGGAGCCCAAACAGGTACCAGAGAGAACAGGCCGCCAGGCGTGAACGGTCAGTGGAGATGAAATGAGTCCAGAGGCTGACACGGAGATCTGGTGAGGTGAGGTGAGCACGAGTGGATGAGCAGGAGCCAGTGGAGAAGGTCAGCTGAGAATTGGGGCCCCTTTCCCCAGTGCTTCCCCTTGTAACCCCATATCATCTTGGGAAAGGGTAAGTGGAGGGGAGACCCTGGGGGGAGATAGACAGCTCTCATAGGGAGTTTAAACTTTAAATTGACTAAGGTTTACCCAAATTTGACTATTTTAAACCCAAAATGTTATTTTAAACTAGTAAGCTGAATAACTGCCCAGGAATGAGAATCTCCTGAGGAATCTTAGTTTAATTATAGACACTTAAAAAAAAAAACCTTTTTTTTTTTTTTTTACATCTGTGTCATACTGGGTACATTGTGACTGCCCTCCCCCCGTTCCCCCATACATGTCTCTACTAGAAGTTTCCTGAAGGAGGTGTCACAGGGGTTTGACAGAGTATGTCACAAGGAAAATGTCTTAAAATTCACTTTAGTCCTGTGGCAGCCAGTCTCCAAGGTGGCCCAATGATCTGTGCCCCCTAATATTCAAGTCCTAGTCCCATATTGTACCAGGGTTGGTCTGCACGACCAAGAGCACATGACAGAAGGGATGGGATATCACTTCTGAGATTAGGTAAGCTTCTGCTTCTTTCAACTCTCTCACTCTAGGGAAACTAGCTGCCATGTTGTGAGGAGAGGCCTACGTGTGAGGAGACCGCCACATGAGTGAGCTTGGGAGCACATCCTCCAGCCTCAGTCAGGCCTTGGGATAAGTGCAGCCCCAGTCCACACCTGGAACACGATCTCATGGGAGACACTCAGTTAGAGACACCCAACTAATGTTCAGATTCCTGACCCATAGAAACCATAATAAATGTTTGTCGTTTTATACCACAAAGCTTGAGGGGTAATTTGTTATGCAGCAATAGATAATATACTCCCTTAGAAATTCCAGTTACATGGGGCGTCTGGGTGGCTTGGTCAGTTAAGTGTCTGACTTTTGATTTCAGCTCAGGTCATGATCTCAGGGTCGTGAGATTGAGCCCCATGTTGGGCTCTGTGCTGAGCGTGGAACCCGCTTAAGATTCTCTCTCTCTCTAGGGCGCCTGGGTGGCGCAGTTGGTTAAGCGTCCGACCCTTGGTTTTGGCTTAGGTCATGATCTTGGTGTCATGGAATGGGGTTCCACGTGGGGCTCGTGCTCAGCATGGAGTCTGCTTGAGAGTCTCTCCCTCTCCCTCTGCCTCCTACTTGTTCTCTCTCTCAAATCTTAAAAAAAAAAGATTCTCTCTCTCCATCTGCCCCTCCCCCCTGCTCACTCTCCCTCTCTCAAAAAAATAAAAACAAAAAAATTTTAAAAAATTTTAAAAATCCAGTTACAGCACCTGCTAAAAATCTTTCTCTCTTTTCATCCTCTCCTCCTGCATTGCCTTCTCTCTGGCACACCTGTAAGCACCCAACTCCTAACAGGTCATGGGCCTTCCCTAAGTGGCCGCCTGGGGTACATGGCCTCATGTCCTCTAACTGGCTGTTTTTATTATACCATCAAGCTTCTCCTCCCCTTCTTCTTCCCACACATCTGCTTATGATGAATACAACGCTGAGAGAACAAGGCTGGGGCAGAAGAAACAGAGGCCAGAGAGAGAGGTAAGGGATAGCCACAGTCAGGTTCAGTGACTTCATTCCTCTCCCCTCCACACTCCTTGCTGATTGCCTGAAGAGCCATGGAATCTTCCTGATGGCAGAATTCAGAAAGACCCCAGAGGGGCCTGGAGATTCCTTTGATTCTCCAGGTCCTGAAATATATTCCAGTTATATGAGGCCTGGCACTCCCTAGGTTTGCAGGGTGTTCCTCGCTGTTTCTGGGTTCCCTTGAGATTTGTTTTCCCTATTTCCGTCTAACTAAAATACATCTGCTAAGCAAAACCAGACATTTGTTTATCATGGACAGAATTCTCCCAAATACTACTGTGGTTATCTTGCAGATGACTACAGTGACATAGCAAAAATAATTGAGATGCACTAGCTATATGGGGGGGAAAAAGACCATATTATTTGGTATTTAATATCTTCTATGGTTTCTCTCCCCTGTTGGCCTGTGAGCTTCATGAAAGCAATGGTCATACGTGATTCCTGTGGGTAACCACAGTGCCCGGAACAATCTGGAATGTAGACATTCCCAGTAACTATTTGTTGGAAGATGCACCATATATGTTTGTTGAAGGAATGGTTGAATTAGCATTGAGGGAGTCTTCACATTAGCCATGCACTGGTAATTCTAAAAGAACAGAATGTTGTTGTTGTTGTTGTTGTTCTTCTTCTTCTTCTTCTTCCTCTTCCTCTTCTTCTTCGCACTGAATCAACAAATAGGGTAGACAGGTGCGTTTTCTTCATTGTAAAGAAAGGCTTCTATTATTTTTTAGGTAGGGCCTGGCCCAAAGTGAACACTAGTTCTCACATAAGACCCAGTAGCCTCCACAGTTTGGAACCCAATACACATTTCCTAGACTATTTGACACCCTCGCCAGCCTCCTCTGGCTATTATCAGGTGTGTTAACCAGTGGAATTGTGAGGCCAACGGAGGGGAGCAGAACCGTCTGTTTTCTGCTAACGGCTTCTGCCTGGAGTTTCTTAATGCGTAGTCTGAGTTGCCCTGGAACCGGCTGGCGGCAGACACCATGCAGGCTCTGGCCCTCCGCGATCGGGGACCCGGCAGAGGAGCATCCACAAGCCGGCGGCGATGAGCTGCCCGGCGCTTGGCAGGGGGCGAGGTGCCAGAGCGCGGGAGACGGCGCCGTTGGCACGCGGCTGCTCCGCGGCAGTCGGGTGAGGCCACGAGTTTCGCGTCTGCAGATCCCTCTCTCAACTCGAGAGAAGCAGTTCCCGCCGTAGGGAGAACCGGGCTTAGTACTTGCCACCGCTTGGACCTGGGTATCCCGGGACTCCGAGTCCTTTGAGGTCTCGTTCGAGACTACATTTCCCAGAAGGCCGCGCGGTGATTGAAAGCTCTACCAGCCTATGAGCGGACGAGGCTTCTGGTCGCGGAAAATGAGGAGCCAATGGTAAGGGGACAGGGGCGGTGTTTTCCGGCTGCGGGCTGTCGAGCCTGGAGTCCCACCTGTGTCCCCACAGCCCTGTCACGAATCCCGGTCGGGTTCAGGGAGGGACTGCCTCGGCGTTGTGGGCCGGGTGCGGCTCGGCGGTGGAGGACTCTCACATCCTGCTCCATCCCCGGCCGGGCCCCGGGGCGGTGAGTGACGGGGGCAAGGAGACCGCTGCCGTAGCCTGGGAGCTGCTGAGGGGCGTGGAGGGGACTCGCCCGCCGCCGCGATGTGGTCCCTGCCAGGTCCCCGCGCTCGCCCTTCGGAGCCCGCGGGGCTTTGCTGAAGAGTGGGGACAGGTGGCTGCGGCTTTCTGTGCCGTCGTCGGGAGAGCCCATCCTCCCGATCAATGTTCTTGCTCCTCGGAGGTGGTCTCCGGGCTTCAGCTTAGCGCTGTGACCCTGTGACCGCGGCGCCCTGGTAGGGCCTCCAGCATTGGCAGGGGAGGGCGGGGGGACGGGTGTCGGCCCACCCGTGCCGTCATGTCCCTATTAATAACCCCAGCGAACGAACTGGTGCTGCTCACAGTGGCACTTAGTCAGCACCTCTGCGCCCTGGGGCCTGCGGGGGTCACCTGTCGGGGTGGGGGGCAGGAGACGGGGTGAGAAACAAGGTTTCTGTGACCGTGGCTGTGACCCCCTCAGTCCCGCTGTCTCCTGCAAGTGGGCCCAGCAGTTGTGTTTCCTAATGGATGTAGAAATAAAATTTATGCTCCAAACTTACCTCCTAATGACGTTATTTAAATGCAGAGATGAAATGTATCCCTGCGGTGTTTAGGTCCTTAAAAATTCAGTACTTTATAAATGACCAATAGCAATGTGTGGAAATGCATAAATATTTCCAGGAAAAGTGTGAGTGTCTTCTAGGTGCTTTGATTGGTGAGACAAAAAACGGGGAAAGAGTTAAGCTTCCTCACTCCAGTCTGGTCCATCCTCCAGTGAAATGCAGAATTTTTTGTAGCAGGTTCAGCTGGCTGACTTGTGTTTGTTTCTATTGGAAACTCTTTAAGCCACCCCCACCCCCCAAAAAACACAAAAGACCCCAAAGCAAAACCAAAAAAAACCCATTGTATTTCTTTGTGACTCCTAATGCCTTACAACATATGACTGAATAAATTACTGATCCATCTAGTAATCTGACCATCGCCCTCCAAATAATTTTTTCTTGATACTGCTCAGTTTTATCAGTGTGTCAATGATTGTTTTCAGGCCCCGTGGGTTTTGCTTTGTGCTTATCTTCATTAAATTTTACTTTATTTTACACCTTATCCATGTCTTTTTAAATCTCATTTCTGATTCCATTAAACCTTGAAGTAGAATGGTACCCAGGGTCTTCCCTTTGGGGTTCTGTGTAGTCTATTCTTCGAGGTTGACACCAAATCTACAAGCCAGGAAAAGCCAATTGTTCTCATAACTAATATGAGTATAATGAAGTCCACAATTTCCTAGCTTGCTTAGGAAAACGTAGCTGGAGAGCTTTTCACAAATCAAGTCATCCCCGCACATTCTCTTCTTTGTTTATCTTGTCCGTCATGAACAATTTATTTCTCAAAAAGTTAATTTTCCAAAGACTGAGGGTTCTGTAGATGTGTTTGGGAGCTCCAGGCCTCACTTCATGATGTGAGTGTTGGCCAAGGGAAGGATGATGTAAAAACAGAACAAGAAAAGCAACCCTTTGGTGGTTGACAGAATTTACCTCATAGCTATTCTAGGCAGGCGGGGGGGGGGGTTCTTTTGGTATACTGGTGGCCGCTGGGACTGTCTTTTGGTTTTGAGACAATGGTTAGAATGTCCAGAGAGCTTCTGATGCATACTGAGGTCTCTTGCTTTAGGAACTGATGACTCTCAATGATGTGGCTGGGGACTTCAGGGAAGAGTGGGTTACCTGGACACCACTTAGAAAATCCTATTCAAGGATACCACCCAGCACAGTTTGAAGAATGGGCTCTCAGAGGGTAAGTCTGCTACTCTCCTTTAGATTTTAGACTTAGATATTGTGAGAAGGTCCAAGTCTGAGCAGTCTCTAGGGACACTGGTCTCTTACAGCGCCAGCTAGCTCTCTGTGAGAATATTTGTTGCCTCCCTGGCAGAAAAAGAATAACTTCCACTTTTTTTTTTTTTTTTTTGGCATGACTTTCATTTTTATGGCACTTTATAGCTCACAGATATCTTTGATATTTATTTTCGTGTTAATATCTCACCATAACCCTCTGTTGTGGGTATTATCATCCCCCTCTTTCGGGTCAGGACCCCAAGACTCAAATTTAAGTGGCAGAGTAAGAATCCAACCCAGGTCTTTGTGGCAAAGGGGGAGCTGTGTTTTTTCCTGTCTCTTCAAAAACAGACAAACAAAACAAACCTCCAGTGCTCTTTCTAAAATACAATGGCTACCCCTTCTCCTTGCTTTACTTCATAAGTAATATACGCCCCTTGAAGAAAAAGAGAAACAAAATGAAAACCAAAGTCCCATTCCATCCCACGACTGAAGAGTTACTATCCTTCCAGGCATTGTTCTAAGGATATATGTAATTAGCAAAAACAAAAGAAAAAAATTGGGATCTTACTTGTATGTTCAGTTGTGCATCTTACTTTTTTACACAGTGTATTGTGAATATATATTGACAACAATAAATAGTCTTCTATACATTGCTTAAAATAACCACTTACTAATTTATTGAATGGAATATAATAACCTGCATTAGATTGAATCATATACTTGACCATTTTTAAACCATTTTTTAACTTATACAATGGCAGTTTCATATGGCTCAATCAAATATGATTATTCCTTTGTCATGGGACATTTAGGTCATTTCCAGATCTTCACCAGTATTGTAATGATCATCTCTTAGCTAACTGTCTTTCTTTTTTAGGTCTTGCTTATTAAAGTATAATTAGTTAGTAATTAGCTAGTATACCTTTTGCACAACGTTTTTTTCAAGTTCTTTTTTTTTTTTTAAAGATTTTATTTGTTTGACAGAGAGAGACACAGCGAGAGAGGGAACACAAGCAGGGGGAGTGGGAGAGGGAGAAGCAGGCTTCCCGCCGAGCAGGGAGCCCGATGCGGGGCTCGATCCCAGGACCCTGGGATCATGACCTGAGCCGAAGGCAGACGCTTAACGACTGAGCCACCCAGGCGCCCCTTTTTTTTTCAAGTTTTATTTATTTTTTTTGTAATCTCTACCCCCAGTGTGGGGCTCGGACTCACAACCCTGACATCAGGAGTCACATGCTCTTTCAACTGAGCCAGCCAGGCGTCCCACAACTTTTTTTCATTTCCTTAGAATTCCCAGAATTAGAATTGCTAGGTCAAAGAATAGATACATTTCTAAGATATTTGATATTTTTGCCCAATGCCTTCCAAAAAGATTGAATTATTTATTCCTGCAAGCATTATATGAAAGTGTCCATTTCTTTACATTTTACCTATCATGGTAGGTATTATAATTTAAGAGTCTGGGTTAAATAATAGTTACAGCTAACATTTATTGGGAACTTACCACTTAATCTTTACAACAACACTATGAGGTAGGTCTTATCATTATCCCTAGTCTACAGATGAAGACCCTGAGACACAGAGACTTTAAGTCACTTTCCTGAAGTCACACAGCTAGTAAGAGGAAGGGTTAAGATTGAAACTTCGGCGGTTTGTACTCTTTACCTCCCTACTACATTGTCTAACTGTATCATTGTTTTTATTTGAATTTCTTTGGTTAATGGTAAGGTTAAAGGTTTTTCACATATTTATAGGCTGCGTGTATGTGTGTGTCTGTGTGTGAATTGCCTATTTATATCCTTTGCCCTTTTTAAAAATTTTTTTCCCTTTACAAGCGTTTGTCTTTTTCTCATGGCTGTATCTACTGCTGCCCTTCTGGGAGAAGTTTAAAGCCCAACATTATAGTTAACTTCGCTGATTCTTTCTAAGGGTGAGATCATGGTGGCATTGTTTCTGATAAAATTATCTTTCTACATGGGTTTAGCCTTGTGCCTTCAGAGGTGAATTATTGTGCTCACTCTGGAGTTTCTGTCACCCAAGTCTGGTTGTTTTGTTGTTGTTGTTTTAATGGGAGGAAAGGGGCTATTTTCTCAGCCTCTTGGGGAGATCACCCTGTTGTATCACTCCATCATGGCAGCCCTTTCAATGAGACCAAACGCACCCTAGCTTAGCGTCTCCCTGGGCTTTCTCCTCTACTTAGGGAAGGAGGAGGGCTTGCCTTTTTGGTCAGGCATTGTATGGTTGGCTCAGATTAATATCCTATGTTCACCTTCTTGTATAGGATTTCCAGACCAAGTGTAACCTCCCAGCTGGAACAGAAGGAAGAGCCACGGATGCTGCAATTCCAAACGTTTGAGGCAAGGAGGATCCTAAGAGAAGGTCATACGGGTGAGATGTGGCTATTATCCAGTGGGAGGAAATCTAGCATTTTATCCTTGGTTGCTTTTTTTTTTAAGATTTGGTTTCTATTTATTTGAAAGAGGGAGTGAGCATGCGAGATGGGGAGGGGCAGGGGGTGAGGGGGAAGCCGACTCCCCACCGAGCAGGGAGCCTGATGCGGGGCTCGACCCCAGGACCCCGGGATCACGACCTGAGCCGAAGGCAGACGCTTAACCGACTGAGCCACCCAGGCGCCCCTCAAGATTCATCTTTTTTTTTTTTTAAGATTTTATTTATTTGACAGAGAGAGAGAGCAAGTGAGCATGAGCCAGTGCGGGGGAAGGAGAGGGAGAAGCAGACTCCTTGCTGAGCAGGGAGCCCGACGTGGGGCTTGATCCCAAGACCCTGTGATCATGACCTGAGCCGAAGGCAAATGCTTAACCAACTGAGCCACCCAGGCATCCCCCAAGATTCATCTTTTTTTTTTAATTTTTTTTTT